TCGTTTCGCTTGGCGATGACTCAAACTCTTCGAGTCCACCGACCTCGTTTCTTCCTTAAGTATTTGAAGGAATCAAGAGACATTTTGGTCGGAGAAGTGACAAATGGCGTTTATTTGTCGTGAGCAAGTTGGTTGTATGGGGAGCGATGATGCGTGCACGATGCGCTACGAGGAGCGTTTCCGCAAATAGAAAAATATCCGTCCGCTGTCCGAAACGAAACGTGCTAGTTGTGTGTGCTTGAAGTACGATTTATGTTTGATAAGGAACGTCGAAAATCAATCGTTAAATTTAACTGGTATTGAAATGTTAACGATACAAATAAACCTGATACAAAGAAGTGACGATTATACAAGTATCCTTGAGCTTACCTGCCATGGTTTTGTCACGTTTAATAAACTCCTTTTTCTATAATACGTAATTTCGTCATTGTATTCTTTTCATCATTTTGTGAAATCCTTTTTTTTTTGTAGTACAAATGAGCTATTTTGGGGTTTTTTCTTCTAAAATGCATTGTTGTTCCTTTCTCCCTCTCTCTCTCTTTCTCTCTCTCTCTCTCTCTTTCTCTTTATATCTCTCTCTTTCTCTCACTAGCGCGTCTCTACTTCTACTAATACTACTATTTGTACTACTTCTACTACTACTTCTACTATTACTACTACTACTACTACTACTACTACTACTACTGCTATATACATTACTACTATACTTCTTCTACTAATACTACTTCTTCTTCTACTTCTACTCTTACTAGATAAGAGTACTACTACTGTTGTCGGCTGTTGCTGGTACAACTGCGACTTTATAAGCTGCTGTCATCTCTTAAAATACAATTCGCCTTAAAGAAAGTATAATGTTATTCCAGACTACATCTAATCAATATCGGTACACACCGGGAATCGGTTAATTCATTATCAGGACGATCCTCATCCTTTATAAATCATTCCCTTCGGCTCCACAGTGCCCAATAACCCTTCAAGAAAGACCAATAAAAGAAGACCGATATTTATGGTCACGTGCTAATACTTCACTAGTGTAAGAGGCACGTGACTATGCACTTTCCCGCGCTTCAGGTTAGCTTTTGGCGCGCTCTGTACCTTCATTAACCCCCTCATTACCAGACGTTCACATACCAGTGACTCGCGAAATGTTACACTTCACCGTGGCACGTAAATGGTTAAACCTGGAGGGGCTTTGTGGTAACATAGGGGACCTGTAGACGCTACAAAGATGGATAAAAATGTCTTCAGATTTCGTAGTATTGATTTGTCGCTTGGTAGAACGTGCTATGACATGCTGGACGGGAGTTTTAGATGTTCAGATTTTGTCTGGATTAAATTCCCATCGCTCTATTCCAGGAAGTGTTACTACCAGAGTAGAACGCCGTCAGACATCTAATATCTGCCATATAAAGGTTTCTTGAATGACTTTATGCATTCATAAGGCATTTTTGCCGTGCATCAAAATCAATAACAATGAATTACACTTTGCCATTAATGAAGACTATATGGTGTACTTGTTTAATATACATCAAATGTAGAATGTGGATGTGAGCAGAGACGAAAGTGATTTATTGATATATTCAAGTACACGGTTAGAGGTGTCGTGGTCTAATGGATAGGACACCGGACTGTGGATCACTTAATTCGTGGTTCGACACCCGTTCCGGCACTGAGAGAGTGAAAAGGGACGGTAAAGAAAGCAAGATTATTTTAAATATATGAACAAAGAACAAGATGAGCTATGAAAGGGGGAATCAGAAAGACTGCGTGTGGGCGTGCGTGCGTATAATAGGTGCGTGTGAGAGAGCGGGGGTGGGTCAGAGAGAGAGGAGGGCGGGAGAGAGAGAGAGAGAGAGAGACGAAAGCGTCAATTGGGGCGATATAAATATTGGTAGAACTATCATCAAACCAGTGATTACGTTCATAATGCACTTTGTATGAACCCTATCTTTATTACAAATACATAAGCGCGTCATTCCACCTTGATTGTCGCTGATAATTGCTCGGTAAGTGAAAATTTATTGAGGTCACTCATGTCGAAGTCATAATTTCCGGGTGTCATCGCATTTCCACTGCCTCTTCGAAATACTTCTCTTTAAAATACAATGTAATAGGTAGGCCGAACGCGATCGAAAATTTAGGGGAAAAATCTAACCAACTGCAATTTCAATACCATGCTGTATGTCCCTTAAAAATTATGTTTGGAATAAGTAATACGCCCTTGTCTTATACGTACATTTTAGTTGGTGGCGCGCAATGCTTTTGAGATATTTTAGGTTGATTTTTTCGAAAGGAGTTGCTGTATTTGCATTTTACAAGTGCATGCGAATACGCTCTCGTATTTTTGAATAACTTTTACTCGATTAATTGTAGTGTGTTTAGAATTTTTTATTTTCCACTTTTTTAATTCATTGTATCTGACACAAAGAGCTCGCGGTTTAAACATTCACTTTAATTCAAATACTGCATTTTCAGGAGAAATGTACGTTAACCGTGTAAAATCAAATGTACACGGTGTAAACGTGTTTGATCACTATAGATTACATAACATAACATGGATGAAATAACATGTACGCTGCGTGTGCATAGCAGACGCATAATTATTTATTCGCCATTGACTGTTCTATACGATTATTCTCCAGCCCGTCAAAAGGTGCCATAAATTTCAGAATATTATGATAAAGGGCACTGTCAACGATTATTCCGAATTACGCTTTTTACGACGTATCCACGACCAAATATAGCTTAAATTCGGTGCGGTCAATAGTTCGGGCATAACCCCTTCGTTCCGTTTAAAAAGCGGGTTAAAAAGAGCTAATTGACCATTACGTATACTGAGAGGTCATGGTAGTTCTATTTTGAAAAATAACACCGCTTTTAACGAAATAATTATAAAGCCATTATCAATATCGGTTCGTGTAGCATGACAAACAGAAATCATGAATAGGGCGGTTTCAGATAAGTCAAACTCGATTATATTGCTATTTGAGTGGGCTTACTGTACGTGTTTATCAAATTGATTGACACGCATATACGTACTCACAAAAATAAAGCAATTTGTAATTTAGTGTCTGGTGGGAGCCGAACTCCCTTAACTCTCTGGGTTTCAGGCCTTTAATTAATACTAACAAAAATATTATTATTAAGAGCCACAGCAAAATGAAAGGGAAAACTGACAAACTTTGTATTTTTTTTCCAAATGGAGGTTTGAATTATGAAAATGTTTGAAATTGCCTGCATTCGATTTAGTCAGGTTCATCATGCCCGTTTGATTTCATATGCTGCACCATTCAGTGTTTTCATGTGTTTTTGTTTGTTTGTCCCTTTATCTCTTCTTTTTTTAGGGGAGGGGGTAATCTGTTCAATAAATTAGTTATAAACAAATGTCATTACTACTACTAAACACAAATACAACTGCTACTTCTACTACTACTAATTTTGCTAATACTGATGATGATATTAATACTGATACAAATAATGAACATTTTAATTGTAATAATGATGATGATAATTATATTGATGATAATAATACTGTTAACAATCATGAGAGTTATAATAATAATGATGAAAACTAATTATGATGACAATATTAATGATAACACTAATAATTACACTAATAATAGTATTAATAATAGTAATTATTATTATAACAGTGTTAATTGAAAATGATAATAATAATTTTTAAAAAAATGACCTTAGGCTTAAATTGACAACTATATCCCCTGAATTCCTCATTTATTAAAGAGAGGGTTTGTGCACAACAATATAAAACCTAAACAATCAAAGTAAAACCCTGTTGTCGTATAGCTCCTTATCTTGCCTTTAAAACGGCCATGATTTGGGGGAGCGTGTAATCTCGTCCCATGTAAATCTCGCCGGAATCATGTTATTCGCCCAAATTCACACATCACTCGCATGGGCTCACTCGATCCTAAAATGTAATCGGGAGACCCCTATCCATGTATAGGGACTTCCCGTGTAATTGAATTTTAAAGTCATGAGGTCAATGGAAATTTTGAGGATAAATGGGGTTTGTTGTCTAAAGATCGGGCCATCGTGACTAGGCTATGTATGTTAATTGATGTTATATGACAACAGGATTGTGTGGGCGTGTGCGTGCGTCTCTGTGTGCGAGTGTGGGGGGGGGGGGCGTGTGTTTGTGGTGCGTCTGCGTTTCTGCGTGATCATGTTTCAGTGATCATGACTTGAATATGTTAAACAAAATAACAATTCAACAAGATAAATAAACTAATAAAGAAAAAAAAATGAAAATACAAATGAGTCAATGATAAATGATTTAAATGAATGAATGAATAAATGAATAAATATATGAATGAATGAATTCATGAATAGATACATCACATCAAAAATTAAATGAATAATAAAACAGGATCACATTCACTTTGAAGACATTAAACAATGGAAACGTAACCCTCTAACAAGTATCTTCCTGCCTCTAGTGTATTCCCCAAATAAATCATGTTCTGATTACGTTACATGTCACTGTCGTGGTCGCACATTTCAATAGGTAACGCACGGGGCTATTGAAAGTGCCCAACTTAGATTTTTGTTTGTGGAAAGTCTTTGTGACCGGATTATAAAAAGTAATATTACATTAGTCCTTTTACTTCCAAACTGTTCGATCAACAGTTTCATATCTACGGCAGATCTCGTGGATGTTTTTTTTTTCTTCTTGTATTGTTCCGTTTTTTTTTCTCTCAAATGTTTGATTGTGTTTTCTTGCCGATCTTTTTGCTCTTTCCCTTTTGATATAGGCCTTCAAAAGAGTTGGATTATCACACAAAATGTTTTTTTTCAGAGAATGCTATCGCGAAATCATTCCAATAAAACCTCGCATTGTTACATAAGTTTTCCTTTGCTATGATATTTTGTTTTCCTTTAGCGATAGTCGAAAGTCAATATCTGCTTAACTGTAAAATGTTGAACTTCGTTATTAATTTTTTTTTATCATTTTCTTCACATTTCTTTTGTTTTTGCAGATACCATCACCATGAAAAGCACTGTGATTGTAACGCTTACGATATGCTGTCTTTTATACCAAACAACTAGGGCGGCATCGTTAACCAACAGGTAAGTCCGGCAAAGAAATAAGGCGCTTACGTCAGTTTCTGAAACAAAATGGCGCACACTACTATATACACCACCCACTCGCAATGCGTTCTATATTGATTTAGGAAAAAAATCATATAAACTGTGAATTTAATGTTTGATAGTCGTAGAGGCATGTGTTCACAATATCTCCCTCTTCGGGTCTGCCACTAGGTTGTCTTTAGTCGCGTTTCAGCCTTCACAAATTTTGCTTTAGACGGAAAATGCCCCAGTCTGGCACCTCATTCTCAGATAATTACATTATGTTTCAAATCTGAGCATGAGATCGAATTCACTGATAGGTTTTCAAAGTATGAATTTCCTATTTTTATCGACTTAACACGCGAATGAAAGCGGTCGGAATTCCTTGTGCGAGCCCAACGTTTGCAAGCGTTCGCCATCTTGGCGGGCTCGCTTTCAATTAACCAGCTGTTCTCACGCATACGTCAATCGTCTTAGTTGAAAGTGTGATTGCTTATTGTGTTAAGGCTTCTAGCTAGATTCGTCGTGGGGCAAAGTGTTTGCCCGCTTTTTACCGAAGGTGTTTATCTTGCAATTTGAGAAAAGATAATTTTTTTTTTCTTCTTCCAGTTTTGAATTGAGGAAACGAGATTCAGTCTTTGCACTCCTCCGATTTTTGTTTCAAAGAATGACCTTCTTTTTTTCTTGTTTTCTATAAACACTTTTGGGTTCGTTGTACGCTATTGCCCATCAAGTTGGAAGGTTTTGAATGAAATGATTGTGACAAAGTGCTTCTTTCTTGATTGGCAAAGTGTTTATCTTCTCGTAGATTTATCGATCATTCAAAAAAGTCATGAATTGATCAATCAAGTTCGAATGTACGTTTCATGGTTGATGGAAATTATATCAATACTTTTAAAGGTAAAGACCGGTAGTAGTAAAGTTGCAGTTCAAGGCTTTTGGGTGCAAAATATACATTCAATATTGTTTAAATATTGCCTTCAGAGGATTAGATGGCAATACTTCAACCTAGATTCGCAAAAGAGCAGAAATATATGCCAAAATGTTCAATGTTTAAATGCATTCACGCTATCTTTCCAGGCCGGATCGATATTGATAATTTACCAAATATATTTATTAATAGGCGGTTTCCCGGTAAAATGTGTATCTTCAGGTATTAATCAAAACATATTCTTTCATATGATTGGTAATAAGAGCTTCCATTTCTTTTTCTGAGAGGGGGCTTCTCCAAAACTGGTCAATACCTTTAATCTTGTTATTAAATGTTATTGTGATCAACTTTGAGTCAACCATTCATTTATATTCCTTTTCTATAATCATCACTTTACTCTGCGACATATCCCATTAAATTTGGTGTTGTTATTTTTATTATTTATAGTTTTGAAACTATTACAATCATTATTATCCTCGGAGTAGAAAGAGAAGGGGTCAGCATCATTAGTTTCAGTATCATTATTTTATTTTCGCTGTTTCTGTTACCCTTATTTATCTTCATCATTATCATCATCATCATCATCATCGACATCAAAATCATCATCATCATCATCATCACCATCAACACCATCATCGTCATCTTCATATATTCGTTATTATGATGATAATATTGATCATAAATTTAGTTATTTTCATCAAAATCATTATTTTTAATGAATTGTTTTCTTTAAAGCCCATCTGCACTAGTTTTGCCAGGGGAGATTAGACCTCCCTGCAAGGTCACTGACAGGTGGTTATCTCATAAATCAGCTCTCAACATAACAAAAAGGGAATCATGGGGGACCAACAGGCACCGATTGGGCATTGTTTGCTATATAGAGGGCGCGAGTAGCTATAAGTAGTGCAGTGTGGCTTCAATAATCATCCTTTTCTATAACGGCCATTTTTTTTTCCTTGTATAGAGACGGACTCTCAAGACAAGACATCCTAGATCTTCTTCAGCTCTATGAAGAACCAATAAGACAAGAGGGGTAAGAGAGATTCGTTTACTTTTCCTTATTTTTTCCTTTCAAATCCTATTGAAATCCTTTGATGAAATTATATTTGATACGTGCAGTTACTTTTAAGGGATTAATAAAACATCATGCCGTGTTTCCACTAAGTTGTTTGGAATATCATAGATTAATATTGCCGCATAATCTATAAGCACGACAAGTACAGTCTCAATTAGTGGCGGATTCACCATTCTCGGGCAATGAGGGCAGACGTCTAAAAGATGTAAGAAAATCAAAAGGAAACTATGATCATATGAACTATTCATCGCTGAGTGAAAATGTTATTTGTTTGCTTTTCTTATCAATAAAATGGTACTTGAAAAGGATAAGGGACATAGCTATGTTTGCTTCTTACCCCCCCCCCCCTTTTTTCCCTCCCTCTCTCGTCCTAACAGACGCCCAGTGAGCAAAGTGAGTTAATATGATGTTAATGTTTTCTTCTTATTCTCCTTCTTCTCCCTCTTGTGTTAGTGGCGACAAGAGGTCAAAAGGTTGCGGGAGTTTTAGTGGTTGTATGCAAATGGAAGTGGCAAAGAACCGAGTGGCTGCTCTTTTAAGAAACAGTAACGCCCATCTTTTTGGTCTAAATGGACCCGGCAAGAGACGACGATCGGTCGACGATCTTCCCCAGGTCAACGACGCAGAGACGGAGTAGATTCAACAGCGCCATCTAGAGTTCATCACACCTTGTTTTTGTCCTCGTAAGTTGAGTGGCAGTTTGTTTCGACTCTCTCTCTCTCTCTCTCTCTCTTGCTATATGTTTATCCATTTCTCTCTCTCTCTCTCTCTCTCTTGCTATATATTTATCCATCTCTCTCTCTCTCTCTCTCTTGCTATATATTTATCCATCTCTCTCTCTCTCTCTCTTGCTATATATTTATCCATCTCTCTCTCTCTCTCTCTTGCTATATATTTATCCATCTCTCTCTCTCTCTCTCTCTCTTGCTATATATGTATCCATCTCTCTCTCTCTCTCTCTCTTGCTATATATTTATCCATCTCTCTCTCTCTCTCTTGCTATATATTTTTCCATCTCTCTCTCTCTCTCTCTCCCTCTTGCTATATATTTATCCATCTCTCTCTCTCTCTCTCTTGCTATATATTTTTCCATCTCTCTCTCTCTCTCTCTTGCTATATATTTATCCATCTCTCTCTCTCTCTCTTGCTATATATTTATCCATCTCTCTCTCTCTCTCTCTCTCGCTCTCTCTCTCTCTCTCTCTTGCTGTCTATTTCATCTCTCTGTTTCTATTTTCTTCATCTCTCTAACAAATTACTTTTATCTAATTCAATCTCCCTAAATGTTCGTCTTCTTCTTTCTCATCCTTCTTCTTCTTTGTCTTCTCCTTCTTCTTATTCTAGATTTATTCTTTTATTATTCGTTTCATATTTTCTTCTTCTTTTTCTCCTTCTTCTTAGCCTCCTTCTTCTTTTTATATTTTCCTCATTCGTACGAAATGAGATGCTACACACATTTTTTCACAACTGAAATTGTAACTTCGATTTATGGCTGATTTTTTCTTCTTGCCTTACTAAAATATGGTTCAGAATTTTACTTACTGTGAACCAATTAAGTAACGCAGTAAAATTAAGCAATTTAGTCTGCCTTTCAAATTGACAATGAGCAAGTTGAAACTGTAAAAAGAAATAAACAGAAATGTACCAATATAAGGTAAATTTATTACGCTAGTGAAGCTTATTGAAGAGTTTTGTCTCACAATACTAGATACAATAATTTTGTTTGTGATTTAAACATAATGATTTGCATTTTACTCTTTTTAATTCCATTGCAGCTTCCAGCCTTCTTCTTTCTCTATTTCCCTGACCACCTATGCCCCCCCCCCCATCTCTCTTTCTCTCTCCCTTTTTTTTCTTCTCTCTCTCCCCCTCTCTCTTCAAGGCTCTGTCGAGATCCCAAAGCTAGGGGAGTCCCCACTGTGATCATCTCGCCAAGCATATCTTTGTCCAGCTGACAATATCGGACTCGGGCCCTAACCACTCGGTACAAATGATGATTGCCTTCTTTAGGACTCAGTACGGATAGAAAATTTAAGAGATTAATATGTTTTGTGTTATCAATAATGATGGAGGTCTTTAGAAGTAAAACCTATGAGGTTAATATATGCATTTGCAATGAAAATGTATTTAAAACAATTTTAAAGTTCATTTTGAACTTTTTGTTAACGATTTGAAGTGAGAATCATTATGGGATTCGTTAAATGAGCAAGACCTTTGATAAGTGTGAAAATAATGAAAACTAAAATGGGGTGAAACTGAAAGCCGCTAGGATGGATATCCAACTATGAGCCACCCCTTAAAAACAAAATATCGTTAATTTTCACCGAATTCGACCCTTTTTACATTTAATTGTCAGTTGTTATATCATCAAAATTTCTTCATATTCACGTGAATTCTATTTAAATACAGATTATTGCTTGTATACTGATATACATTAATGTTTTAGATGAAATCAATTCTGAAGTTATTCAAAAAGGGAGCTCTTATTAAACTCGCACACTTATAGCAACTTTATGTTCACATTTCCTTAAAACTGTTTGATAAATAGTTCGCTCTCATGAATTCAAAAGCAATTAAATCAGCATTGTCGTAGAAAATAAATCGAAGGAAATATGAAATTTGTCATTTTTTCTTTCGTAATATCCCAATTTCTCAACTGCCTCTGCCAAAACCAACCCAATTTAAAAGAGTTCCATCCTGAAGTGCAATAAAACTGTAATCACATTTGCCTCAATGGAAAAACAATTCACCTCAAAATGCCCATTATTACAAGGAAACAGGTTTTGATGTATGAACTTCAGACATTTTATATATTTTTCTTCTTTTTTTCTCCATTGAGTGGTATTAAATTGTAAACGCTCATACAAATATTATCGAATACATTTTGTTGAATTTACAACTTAACCTCGCTTGCAATCTTATACGGTATTTGACATTTATTTTTAACGGCAGTTGTTAGTTGGGGATGACCGAATTTTGAGGACATTGGAATTAATTATCCTTATTTATCGAAAGAGTTACATAGCGAATCACGATGAACTTGTTGCCTCTCGCATTATATATTTATATAATTAGAATGAAAGATTTACCAAAACAATCCCCTCATCCGTCAAAGGAGGAGAAAAAAATATTGTTCTGTTATTGAATCTTGTCCAAGGTTATTGAATATTTTCTTTCGCCGTGTCTTTGTTCCCAGCATGCAGCAGGCAGTGAAGTTCAAAGGTCATGCATAATTCATGAACTGTGACGTACTAGGTCCTCAAAATCGGTGATTTCTGACCTTTCATTCCATTTTAAAACGCTGACAGCCTATTTTGAAAGATATGTCCAAATATTGAACACATTTTAAGGGTTTATAATTATTTGTACTTTTGACCTTTTAAATGACAACCTACTGTTGGAGGCTCCGTGCAATTAAGACTAAGGAAGAATTTTCTGTAAATATTGGATATATAGGCCTATATATAATATGCATCTACTTATTAATCTTTGCTTTGCATTATGTTTGTAAATAAGATATTCATTTCCTAGATGACCAATTGTTAGCATCTTTCCAAATCATTTCATATAAAAAAAGCTTCGATTTTCATCTTCTTGCACAGTTTGCTATTATCACAAATGTTTCATGTAGCACGACTGATGGAGTTACCTTTTATTGTAAATTATATAGAACATTTTCAATTTTTAAGAAGTGTATTAAATGAATCTGATTCCTCTGAGAAATGCGAAATATCTGATCTCTCATTTTTAATTAATGGATTTTGGGTTAATTCTTTTTGACATTTTCAATATACATTAACAGTCTATACTAAGCGTTATGTTTTGTATTGAACTGATAGTGTCCAATGAGTATCATTCCATACTGAAAAAATTAAGAAAAAACACGATTCATGATTACCTTTACGTATCACAAAGTAATTAATCAATATTATACATTGACTCCTAATGCACTCGTTGATGTTTACTTTATTATATGCTGACGTACTCTATAGAATTAGACGAGCTTTGTTCATTTATTATTCTTTGCAAGAATTTCCACCGTTGATGAAAATTAATGGAATTAAAATGCTTTATTTCACTATCATCAAAGTTTCCCAACTCTATTGTTTGTTTGTTTTATTAATCAGTAATATATTTCGAAATGCGAATTTAAAGCATACGCCTTTGTTCTTGTTCCAATTGTACTTCCAAGCATCATAATGCAAGAATATTCTCCCCACTCTCTCTTTCTCTCTTCCTCTCTCTTTCTCTGCTTCTCTAATTCTCTATGCTTAGTTATCGTCATTTCCATATGAAATAAAATAAAACAGCCGCAGTTTTGTAGCGTCATATATGAACGATGCTTTACAAGATAGACCCAAAATTTATATGCATTGTATATACAATTGAATTTTTAATTGAATTTGAATTCACTGATTTCACATGCTGGAATATATACAGAAAATTAACAATTATTGTTAATTTTCTGTATATATAAGAAAACTAAAGATATAACATCTGAAAACAATATTATGAAAATTGAAACACTTTAATTACATTGTTGACAACTGAACAAACTTGGCAGTTTGAAAATGTTTGAAGGTAGACTTTTCCTATGTGACATGTGAGAATGTAGGGCTAATTGAAAAGCGTGGCTTATAATAGTAAGCCCCTCTTAAAACGTAGGTACATCTCAATATAGGTTCGTTAAGTAATTATTTAAAATCATCAATAAAGTATGAAGCTATGTTTTTGTTGTGTGTGTGTGTGTGTGTGTGTGTGTATGTTCGACAAGAGAAATGGCGATTGTGTACATTAGTTTGTACACAAGGCATGATCGCAAAGACTTTCGAAAAATCACCCTGTGGCAGTTTCAGTAGCCAGTTCACCACCCATTGGAACGCACAGATATATTACAATGATGCATTATGTAATAATAAATTGGATATACATATTTATATTATGCCTGAGTTGATTTTTCGAAAGGCTTTGCTATCGTGTTACAAAGACATGTATTGTATTTCAATTCAATTCAATTCAATTTTATTCAACCATACAAAGATACATATACAATAATAATTCATGAAAATATAAAAACATGGGGTTAGGAGCCCCTGAAGAAGTTTGGAAACAAACTTGTGATTGGGGCACCTATTTAACTTCATTGATCTACATCAATATTCTGTTTATAAACATATAAATCAATAGTACAATAGTTCTATTAATCAATCAATAAATCAATTAATCACCTCGCATGGAATATGAACAAATCAATCAATCAATCAGCAAATCAATCATTCAAATAATCAGTCGATCAATGCAGCATATTAATATATGATATTACAATATAGTCTGCTGTTACATCTTTCCAGTATAATACCACATTTCCTTAACAGACATCATGATTGTAGTCCTAACACAAAGAAAACCCAGCTTATGTACATGTTTTTGTAAAAGTAATTTTAAAAAGGAAAAACGTCGGTTTTCGTATTTGCCTAAAGCCATTCAATCGCAATAGACGCGCTTTCTAATGTTATCCATACTTCTGGAGCTAAAGCTGTTCTTGACGATTTAAAACCTTGCCAGACATAATTCCATCCATAGAGCTGACATTATGCAAATAGCTGGTGAGCTAAGTAGTCGGTAAACACGGGTTAGGGAGAGAAAAGGAATACTATACATTAGTAAAAAGGTATATAAATTTAAAATTCAAAATTGCTCTTGATGATTAACTTTTAATAACTCTGTGCATATGATGTATATTTCATATGTATTGTAATTTGTAGATTTTTTTTTTGTATTTTTTGCTTTATATATAACATTGTACATCATCGTAATTTGTTTTTTAGGCCAAAAAAACAAATCATTTGGTTGTCCTCGACCGCCCGCTCGTCATTTTCGGCCCGCTCGTATGTTTTTTTTTTTAATTATTTGTTTAATATTTTTTTTATCAAATTTTGTTATATTTTTTTTATTCAATTTTTTTTTTTTTTTTTTTTTTTTTATTTAATTTTTTGGGGGGAGCAATCTTAAGTGCCAAACATACCATTTTATGCATTTGCAAGGATCAAAATGCGTCCTGTTGCCAGTTTTGTCTTTTCAGTACGCAATTAGGTATGTATTAAACTTGCCATTTTTATTTTTCAATGTCAAAATGCCGTTCATTCAAATCAGGTTCTGAGCATTCTTAAACTCATTTTTAAAGCCCATCTGTACTAGTTAACAGGAGGGATTAGACCACCCTGCAAGGTCACTGGACAGGTGGTTATCTCATCAAATCAGCTCTCAGTTAATATAAGATAAAGAGGATCATGGGGGACCAATGGTCACCGATTAGGCATTGTTTGCTACATAGAGGGCGCAAGTAGCTATAAGTAGTACAATGGAGATTCAAAAGGTGCTGTATTTCAAAGCCCAAAATACTTTCTGTGTTGGTCTTGATATTCATTGTACATTAAACTAGTCTTTTACCATATCAAAGTGTTTTATAGACTTTGTTTGTTTAAATGCTTGACAATCCCGATGATTTTTCTTTTTATGGAAAAAAAATATTTAAAAAAAAAATGGGGGGAAAAAAAAAAAAAAAAAATGAAGTTTAAAAAAAAAAAAAAAAAAAAAAAATCCGCCCGCCCGCCCCTACTCCAGAAAAGCAATCGAGGACAACCAGACAATTTTTTTTTTTTGGCCTTATAGCACTGTGGAAAGCATTTTATATGCGTCGTTTTTATTATTTATTATTATTATTACCTACGCGTGAAGTAATACCTGACAAGAAATCAAGATGGCCAGTTCTAAACAATTTTGTGCTAAATAATTGTGTGATGATCACACTAGCCCCAAACATTGAATTTGCCCTGCTCCACCTCGTTGCTTGAATGATGGCGTGTGCTCTGTTGTTTAGAATCAGTAACCTGGACGACGAGCAGAATCATTCAACCAACGGGTTAGCCTTAAACAAGGCCACATGTCTGATAGACGCCGAGCGACTTAAAAGAGACTAATCGCGAAAACCCGAGTAAACGACAGAGCGAGAAGCGCAGCCAAGTAGCCTTTAGTAATCTAGATTGGATTTCTTATGTTAACCTTTGTTTCCGACTGGAATTCTCTACCGAAATAGTAGCGTCCAATCAGCGAAACTTATCCTCAAATGACGTCAGCATATAATATCCATCACACACACACACACACAAGCACAGTAAACTCTACGTAGTACGAACATGGTATACTATGAACTAAGAATGACGTACGGGCTAAGACCTCTGACCTCTAGATGGAACAAAAACGAGTTGGACTGGTTCATTTTATACACAGGGAAAGTTCAATTATCTTACTTATGATTATCAGCATAAGTCATCAAATGCTTCCTATTTCATTGTAATTTTGAATGTAAAATAGATTTGAATGTGATATTTTGTATCTATCAGTTATATGTTCATCTCATAAGATTTATTTACGTCTTTTACGTTTTCTTATATGTTTTGATAATGAACGGATCACGAACGGAGCCAACTGGGAGATGGCCGTTCTGATTGGACAATAAATTCAAAGTAATGAATAATTCATGCAGAGCAGTAAAAATCTAGATTGAAAAAGGCCTTGTGGCAAGCGCCACTCGGTCGCGCGTTTACCCCGGGTATCTAGACTCATCTCAGCCGCTGTTTGGGGTGGAAAATAGCCAGAGTCACGAGGCCTTGTCAAAAGGCTACCAACGGGTCGGAGCAGGTCAAATTTTGTGTTTGGCCCTGGTCTGGTCCCAGTACCATTATTTAGCACAGAACTGATTGGAATCAGCAACCTTGACAACTTGGCCATTGTGACGTCACGCCGCGCTAGTCTATTCAGTTGACAACCTCCATCCTCCCGTTTCCTCTACAAGAACACACAATCGAACGAAATTCTTTCAGCCTCCACAAATAAACCACAGAGTTCGCTATCCAGTTAAAAGCCGTCACCAGTGTTACCACAAATATGAAGCATGGCCCCGAATCGGACGACGCCTCGTTGGCAAAATACGTCTTCGAAATGTACAGCTTAAGAGAAAGAGCACATGTCATGGTGCCAGCGATCAAAGATGTGCCATAGACAATAGCAAAGGTGCGCAGGACTCGCTTGTTGTCTTCCTTCCTTTCCTGCATCAGAACAATATCGCATGACATCTTTGCTACCACGCCATGAATCAGACCCAGACATACCCCTGTGAGAAGGAACACGATGAGCGTCAAGATGGAGACGGCTAGCTCTCCAATAAACCCGCCTGAATTGTCCAAATAGTCGATGGGTAACAGAATGCCGGTGCAGACCACCCACGATGCAATGGCCGCCACGACGCATCTCGCCGTGGTGACGATGTTCTTCACCCCGAATGGGTCGACGCGAATGGTGATGAGCTGATACAGAGCTACGAAAAAGATGTTGATCACGGAAACGACCAGGGGCGTCGTTAAATAAGCGCGTTCGATTTTCTCTGGTAAGAGATCCTGTAAGGAGAGATTGATTTTAGAACAATGATATATAATAACACAAGGTAAACGAAAATTATGATGATAACAATGATTGTAAGTGTCGGCTTGCATGGTGATGTAGATATACAGTAGGCTTGCGGGTGCACCATGTGAGAGAGAGAGAGAGAGAGGGGATTGAGGAGTCCTGACGACGGATAGTCAATCTGTTCGAAACGTCGAGCCATTCATCCTCTCCAAGCGCTATAGTTCTCCTTAGAACCATAAGCTAAGAAAGATAACAGTCCTTTTCAGGACTACACACCCCCAAGAAAGATTACCGAGTCAGAGTCCTTTTCAGGACTCCTCAATCCTCTCTCTCTCTCTCTCTCACACATGATGCACCCGCAAGCCTACTGTATAGATAAAAATGATGTTAATGATAACAAAAACAATAATAAGGATACTAATGATAAGAAGAGGAAAGAGAATAATAAAAACATTAATGATAGTAATAAAGATAATAAAGTAATAAAGATATGCATGCTTTCATGCCCGTGTCCTTACGTGACCGACGAAAGGGCATCCTCTGGACTATCCAGAGCAGTTTGTTAGAAGTCTGTAGCATCTTGGATATTAGAGGTAGAGAGGCCTCAAAACAGTCGTA